ATAAATTCTTCGAGAATTCTATACCATCTTTTATTCGTAGAATTCCGACGCCCATGTGACAATCTAAGGCTATACTGAGAATAAAAGTATATTTTAATTATAAACTTATTTTCTGTTTCTTGAGGGGATGGTCAAGATTAGTAGCGACTTAGAGTAGACAAGGAGGCTAGATGACTAATCCCAAAAATGTTGCGTCTAATTTAGAGTGCCATCAATGAGTGAAAATTAATAACTCGCACTTGATTTCTCTGGTCATCGCGATCAGAAATTTAGATTACATACGTCGAAACTTTTTGTTTTCTTTTTAAGAGAAATACCGTCAATACAAATTCTTTTAATCAACCCAATCTTCCTAATAAATGCAATAAAAAAAGAATAATTTTTATTAACATGGAAAATAATCAATAGAAATTAAGAAAACGAGATAAATATTGGATAGAGAATGTTATGAGATGTACAACATTCAAAATCAAAATGTCTATTTTCTATTATATCAATCAACTCTTTAAGGAATGAAGTCTGGACTACCTGGATTTCTATTATGACAACATCCTAATTTCGTTTCAAAAAACACTTACTGTAGAACATCAAAATACATGTCCAAATCTTCCCTTGGACATGTAGACCATTTTGTTTTGTAGCCCATAAGCAAAATGTTAGGCTTCAGTTTTCCGATTCCACAAGACTTTAATATGGATTGTGCTCCGTCCTTGAAACTTAATCCATCCACGTGGGTATAGAACGCTTTTATCTTGTGCTTTTCCAACCATGAATATGCATTAGCATTTAATACCATCCTTGCTTTTTCTGATATGGGTTCCTGATACAATAATGAACGTGATGATCAAAAACGGAAACACTAATTTCAAAGAAAGCAAATCATTTAATATGATATGAATATTTTCTTCCAGTGAGTAATTTACAAAAAAATATCAGGAACATAGGAACAAATGAGTTCTTCTGGAGTTTGACCGATTTAACAGGTTCACAACCAGCCACTCTGAGTTTTTGTTAACTTACCCTTATAATATTTCCACAAACAAGAAGAGACATGTTCTTGGTGAGCAGGTTGGCAAAGTCAACAAGAGCTGGCCTAGAGCTCGGCATACCTGACAGAACGAGGATTTGGGGCCGATAATTTTTAACATGTTCCTCTACCAAATTTAACGAATAAACGGCTTTCAAAGCTTCTTTATAAGACTGAGCTTGAGTTGTCGATCCCCAATTAACATCTGTCGCAAAATTATAATAATTGTCTTCTTAATTTCAAAATATCGATTTATTATACTTACCAGGTTTTCGGTAACAAACGATCAAGTAAAGGGCCAAAAGTACCGCCATGGTGATGAGTGCGTTCCACCACGATATTAGAAACATAATAAATACGCACATTATTGAACCAAATAAACTTAACCACATATTGTAGTACTAAAAGTGGGCGCATTTTTATTTAATAGGTAGGTTTTTGTTTTAAGAAAAAAGCGTGAAAATTACCTTAAAGGTGGGTCTCCATCCTATAGGTTTAACTAAAGAGGCGTGAAAGGTGGCGAAATTTATTAGAGTGTACGCGGCCAAAAAGAAATTCGATATTAAGGGAGCTATCAAGTTGAGTTCCCCTAAAATGAGAAATAAATTAGTCACTATTTAGGTTATTTATGTATTATGTAAGAATGATGGGGTAGGAGACTGATGTTATCTAATGTGATAGCAAGGAGTATAGTGTTTTAAGGACCGAAAATATAAGGATGGGTGGAAAAAAGCAGAGGTTTTATAAACTATGTCTGACTCCTCAAGGAATAAGAAGGTACATGAAACAGATATAGAATGAGACATCTTGCACCATACAGTGATATATATAAACATCAGGGTAATAACCCTGCCGAAAGCCCCAAGTGCACCGGCAGTGATGATATACACCGCCAGTACACCGTTCGTATGTGCAATTGACCTGTCTACGTACCAGCTGTTGAGCGAAGGTCATGAATAGGTAAATGTGTTTCGACAGTTGACGCTTGCAAAAGGCGGTAAGATAACTAACAATTGTTCTCAATCACTGACGGCTGGTTAACTCGGGTACTTTTTGTGCATACTTTTTATATCCTCTACGTTGTGGTGCTTTCACGAGATGCAGATGTTTCTTTCAAATATCCCGGAATATTAATTAAACATAAATTTTTAATTTTGGGAAGAAACGACAAAAAGGATAGTAAAATATGAGGAAATGTTGGGTTGAGGCTGGAGAAAGAAACTATTGAAAATAGGGAGGAAACGTAGATATTATAGACAGAGGAAGAGGACTTTGTAGAGATTAAAAATCAATCAGAAGTAGATAAGAGAATGTTTAAGGGAAATAATATATATAGGGAAATTGATTAAAAGCAAACGAAGGGAAATAATAAGGTGAAAAGATTTAAGGAAAATGGAGAGAGTCAAGATATGTAGTGTACCAAGGAATTTAGACGGGGGGAGGGAAATAAGCGTTATAGCAAAAGTTAGGGGAGGGAATGAGTGTAGGGGATGTAAATATTATAAAAAAGAAGAGGAAAGGCGGTGTAGAATATGTAAAAGGGATGCAGAATGTCTGAAGGAGGATGTGAGGATAGTATAACTTGAGAAAAATGCTATGAATTGGTGACAAAAAATTTTTAAGGACTAAGGGGTCATTTTTTAGATTAATGTAGATAAGTGCAAAAAATGTAGCAAAAAAACTTTGTTTCAAAAGGGTAACTATTCATCCACGATAACGGTACAACAGGAGAGACAACGACCGCCTTAGACCAAATTCAACATACAAAATTTCACAACTAAGTTTTTGGTTAAATTTTGCCATTTTTCTAATAACCATTTACTTTAACTGTGTTGCTTTTGATAAACGTGCTTTTGAATGTAATAAATTCAGTGTACTACTGAAAGATCAAATTGATGTAAAACAATTTTCCATTCATTATCTTGTTTTCAAAAACATAATGTCACCTACCGTCTATGTTTCTACCATATTGGTCAAATTATTGTGGTGTTAAACTACAAAAGAAATTTTGATTTTTTTATTTTTAATTTAATAATCAATTTCCTCTGTTTTTTGTTTTTGATTTATTAGTATCTAGACATGTTTCGCACAATTGTTGCACCACTGAAGGTTTGAATGTTGCGTATTATTAAATAAATAAATCCATTATCCCATTTGGATTTAGTTTATTACCCCCTCCAATTTTAATTTCACCAACAGGTAGTAAAAGTCTAGTTTTGTTTTAGTAGAGTAATGCACGAAGAAAAGGATTTAAAATATTGCATTATAAAATAATATCTCCAACTGTTTTGTTTACATTTTTTCGCTTTAAAATAATTTACCATGTACTAATCAATTAAGGTCAAAACGTGGGATTATCAGGTGCCCGAATTGTATATAGAACTAATTGACTTTTATCTTTTAAAGTATAATTTAACAATAAAATTTGCTTACACAATCCTGATAATTATTCATTTTGACTTCAAAACCTGTGTGTTCCAAAAACATTTAAAAACCACTTACATGGATATCTTTAATGATTTGCAAAATTATAAAATACCTGTATTAAAAACAGCTGCTAATTAAAATAATTAATCAATTCGAACAACTTCCAGTTGCAGGCACGTTTCAATTGAGCAATTATTTTAACTTTAGTCGCTAATTTCATTAAAATTACACATCGAAACGAGAAACTAAATATCTATTTATTTGTCCAATCAGTTAGTCATTCATTTATTCATTACCTAATTCATTTATTTATTCATTCATTCATTCAGAATTTACCTATTAGAACGAACCCTATAACTATGAAAAAGCATAGTATATATCCGCGTATGGGTTCGTTGTTCTGTCCATACCCTTTTCCAAACCATTCTATGTAAGGGTATAATTTATCGTTGCAAAGAGCTTGAAAAACCTTCGGTGCAGATACCAAAGAAGCCAAAGCTGAAGACAATGTAGCAGCAAAGCAACCTGCATAAATCAATGGACCGATCCATGCAACCAATTCGATTATCTTCAATGAAATTAAAACAGAAAATACGTATAAAATTGAAATTCTTTTATACGGTTAAAGGTGAAAAAAGAAGTGCAATTGTATTGTATTTACTTAATCGTTTATTATTATAATCAACTAACGCCTTTCAAAATTGTTATAATTAATTGGTTGATACCAAAGTCTTTCCAAACCGGTACAACAAAATTCAATATTAACAAACGTATTTCTGAATCGGTGTAACAATATTAAGTACCAACGTCTTTTCAAACCGGTGTAATAAATTTCAGTATCAACTAACGTCTTTCCGAATCGGTATAACAAAGTTAAGTATCAACGTCTTTCCAGACCGGTATAACAAAGTTGAGTACCAACTAACGTCTTTCTAAATCGGTATAACAATGTTAAGTATCAACTAAAGTCTTTCCAAATCGGTACAACAAAATTTGATATCAACAAACGCCTTTCCGAATCGGTGTAACAAAATTAAGTATCAACGTGTTTTCAAACTGGTATAACAAAGTTGAGTACCAACTAACGACTTTTCAAATCGGTATAACGAAACTCAAAACCAACAAACGTTTTTCCGAATTGATGTAACAAAATTAACAATCAACAAACGTCTTTCCAAATCGGTATAACAAAGTTAAATATCAACAAACCTATTTCCGAATCGGTGTAACAAAATTAATTATTAACATCTTTTCAAACCAGTGTAACAAAGTTGAGTACCAATCAACGTCTTTTCAAATCGGTATAGTAAAACTCACTATCAATATACGTCTTTTGGAATCGGTGTAACAAAATTAACTATCAACGAACGTCTTTCCAAATCGGTATAACAAAGTTAAGTATCAACTAAAGTCTTTCCAAATCGGTACAACAAAACTCAATATCAACAAATGTATTTCTGAATCGGTGTAACAAAACTTTTCGCATCGGTGTAAAAAAATTAAGTATTAACGTCTTTCCAAACCAGTGTAACAAAGTTGAGTACCTATCAACGTCTTTTTAAATCGGTATACCAAAACTCACTATCAACCAACGTCTTTTCAAATCGGTGTAACAAAATTAACTATCAACGAACGTCTTTGTGAATCGGTATAACAAAGTTAAGTATCAACCAAAGTCTTTCCAAATCGGTACAACAAAATTCAATATCAACAAACGTATTTCTGAATCGGTGTAACAAAACTTTTCGCATCGGTGTAACAAAATTAAGTATTAACGTCTTTCCAAACTCTTTTCAAATCGGTATAGTAAAACTCGCTATCAATAAACGTCTTTCCGAATCGGTATAACAAAGTTAAGTAACAACCAACGTCTTTTTAAATCGATATAACCAAATGCAATATTAACAAACGTCTTTTAAAATCGGTTTAACAAAAATTGGTATCAACCAACGTCTTTACAAACCGGTATAACAAAATTCAATATCAACAAACGTCTTTTCGAATCGGTATAACAAAGTTAAGTATCAACCAACGTCTTTCATAAGTAAGTATCTGCTAACGACTTTCCAAATCGGTATAATATAAATTTAATATCAACAAACGTCATTCCGAATCGGTATAACAAAATTAAGTAACAACAAACGTGTTTCTAAATTCCAATAAAATTAAGTGCTAAAAAACGTAAGTTATGTAAAATTAATATTCAGGGAAGCTAGTTTAATATTTACGATAAATAACGTTACAAACATTAGAAAAAAAAAACAAATCTCACCTGAGCATTATTATGTAAACCATAAAGACATTCTCCTGGGAGACAATCCCTAAAAGTCCCATTAAAATAATCCGTAACGCTACCTGTAGCGTCCCTTACAACAACGGCACCGGCTAAAACGGCGATTAACATATACACTACAGTTGTAATTAATATTGCTAAAAGAGTTCCCTTAGGAATAGCCTTCTGGGGGTCCTAAAAATAAAAAACATACATATCATGCATTCCCATGGTGCAACTGGTATTTTATTTATTTACTCGGAGATCCCCGGATATGTTTGCACCAGCCAAAATACCCGTAGCAGATGGAAAGAATATGGCAAACACCTTGAAAAAATTGTACTTTTCACCATTTCCTTCTTCGGTATATGCAGAGAAAAAGTTTTCATTTATTAGAGACACTGAAATATTTATTTTTAAACATTTAATTTTGTTGGTGTTGTACAAAATAACTTACGATTATATCCAATAAAACCTTTAGCTCTTGCTTCGTCACTTGTGGGGCCAATTATACTACCGATTATGAAATCGAATATGGCGACTACCAAAATTACCAAAAGGGCTATCTGGGCCTAAAATTAACTACGTTTGCCATTAAAACTGCATGAAAACGAAATGAACATTTTAATAAATAGTATTTACAAAAACAAATACCAATCAGTTTTTTAACATGCAAAATAATTTTTTGAATCCTTTTGACCGTAAGCAGCTTTTTGGTATTTTAAGTTAGATTAGGTTGAAATAGCTTCTGTTAATACTATTTAGATTTACAGTGGGCCAGAAAAACTTCATTAAAACATGAAAATTAATTCAACTACACCCAATTTTAACATACCCATAATTTCTATAGAAATAAAATACCAAACTTTTTTAAATAATAAAATCGATAATTATGTAGCTTTTTGTTAGTTTGAGTTAGATTAAGTGAAAATAGGTTGGGTTAGGTTAGGTTATATTTATTTTGAGTACAGTGTAGGATCACAGCCAAGGCAGGAATAGAACCTAGTTTATTTCAAAAGCCGACAAAGTTTTCTCTTTTGGTGCAAAGTTAAGTTCTAATGGGCGGGGTTTTTGTGTTTCGTTTGATTTTACAGATGATAACCCTATTATTTAACCCAAAACCTATAATTAAGTACATTTGCTATGAAAGCAGCAATAAAATTAATTAAATTATCCAATAACAATGTTTTGGTTTAGATTATGAATAAGTGTTTTGTTAAGGTTCCGTACGTCCGAATGAAAAACGGAAACCTTAAATAGGGTTGTTCGGAAAGTCATTTCGTTTTTTTTTGTGGAAATGAAAGACAGTTTTCGTATAATAAACAAATACTTTATTAAATTATATATTGACCGTTCTGGTCCAACACCTTTTGCCATCTTTCTGGTAGTAGCATAATTCTACGCTCATAAAATTTTTGGTCTTTGCTGGCAAAAAACTGATCGAGGAGGTTTTTGACCTCCTCATTTGAGGTGAAGGTTTTACCGTCTAAAAAATTTTGGAGTGACCGGAAGAAATAATAATCCGATGGTGCCAGGTCTGGAGAATATGGTGGGTGTAGCATTGTATCCCATTCAAGCTGTAAAAGCTTTTGGCGAGTGACCAAACTTGTGTGAGGTCTCGCGTTGTCTTGGTGAAACACTACACCTTTCCTGTTGATTAGTTCTGAACTTTTCTGTTGAAGTGCATCATTCAGTTTGTCAAGCTGATGACAGTAGACTTCCGAATTAATCGTTGTGTTATCCGGTAAAAGCTCAAAAAAAACGATTCCTTTAAAATCCCACCAAACAGACAGCATCACCTTTTTTTGGTGAATATCGGCTTTGGAAATGGTTTGAGCCGGTTCATCTTTTTTGCTCCATGACCTCTTGCGTTTGACGTTGTTGTATACAACCCATTTTTCGTCCCCAGTGATGATGCGCTTCAAAAACGGATCATTTTCGTGACGTTTGAGAAGCGAATCGCAGACGTCATTGCGGCGACACAGATTTCTCTCTGTGAGAACATGGGGAACCCATACATCGAGTTTCGAGGATAATCCCAGGCCTTTCAAGTGGTCATAAACTGTTGAATTTGATAAATTTAACCTCAATCCGATCTCACGTGTTGTTATTCGCCGGTTCACATCAACTAATGCCTTTATCGCGTCTTTATCAGCTTCAACCGGCCTTCCCGAACGTGGTGCATCTTCAACATCAAAGTTGCCGGATCGAAATTTAGCGAACCAGTTCTGGCACTGGCGTACTGTCAACACACCTTCTCCATACACATCAGTCAATTTCTTTCTGGCTTGAACAACATTTTTACCCTTTCTGTAGTGAAACAGTAAGATATGTCGAAAATGCTGCTTATCGCTCTCCATATTTAAAAGGGCACCAACCAAAAACTACTGCGTATAATTAATTGGAATTTTTCACACACAAGCCTTGTTATATGAACTCTCAAAGCATATAAAAATTATACGGCTTAAATGTGAAGTTGGGTGCAAAAGAATACAATTAAATCCTCTGTTGGGAAAAAACGAAATGACTTTCCGAACAACCCGACATAATTACTCGTATGTCTGTCTGTCCATCTGTCACAGTCAATTTGCTCCGATTCTACTGGACATATTAATCGAAATTTGTTACACATATATTCTGGGACCCAAACACGGACGCTTGACGTAAATAAATTAACTTTAAACATGGGGGTCATTTTTGGGGGGCCAATAGAAAATTAAAAACAAAAGTTTTGCAAACTGTACCGTGTGACATATCAAATGAAAGGGCTTGCTGTAAGGGTCTTAAATATATTTGTTTTGATAATTTTAAAATACATAGTTTTAAAGTTATTTAAGAAAATAGATGAAAAGGGAGAACACGTTTTTTTCCTAACTACAATGTTAAGCTGGTTCTCGAGATAAATTATTGGTACTGTTAATAGTACTCGTTCAAAATGAACTCGGTCTTAGTCCACGCATTCAAGAATATACAAGACAGAATTTAACAATAGACAATGTAGTTAATGTTAATGTTTAGTTACCATAAATAAATATGGATTACATTAAAAAAAAATATGGTAACATATTCAACGTATGGAACCCTCTCCATGCGAGGACAACTATTTTTGCGAATATTTTTACGTCTTAGGTAACTATAATTCATTGAATTTACTATTAATTTTTTTATTTGCATTTCTACAAAATTAATCAGTGGCTTTAAGTAAAACAAAAATCTAATGAAGCAAACATTGTTATGAGAAACTGACCAGCTCGCAACTTACAATAAAACTGTCAGTAAATATTCCTGTAAAATGAGGAATGGTATGCAAACATAAAGAGGTGAATATCTGCGTAAATACATCTCTATTTGTGCAACCCACAATCAATTTCATTTAATTTGCAAACAAAAACTCGTAATTACCGCTCACTGAGAATTAAAATTTTTGTATAATGATTCAAACGCTAGTTAAATTCATAACATGTAAATGTTTAAAAAACATACTGTACCTAAGTGTATGAAATGAATTAGGGAGAAATAAACAATTTTATACACTTATCTTATGAATAACATAATGTAGCAATCAGAGACAAAACACTTTTCAATTGTTATAATGTTTTACAATGTTGCAAAAACGTCTCAGAATTGGGTACTTAGTGTCAATTTGTATAAGACATACGTATGTATACGTTATAACTATTTTTTAACAAATTTGATAAAAATAATTTTAGTTGTAGTTATGAAAAATGTCGCATATCTTTAAGCTTTTTTTTCTGCTGTAGTTACAGTTTTGTTATTTTCCAAATTAAACAGAAATTATTTTATTTTGGTAGGGAAATGTTTTCGACAAGTTGTCAGCACCACCATCTTTTTTTTGTGTGTATTTGTATTATTCCCGATTCGCCTTGATGTCCTAAATACGTGTTAAAATTATAAAAGATGACTTAAATTTAATTTTTTTTATCCCTCGGGAACAGTTTATTTTTCTTTTAGAATAAAAGATACCCTATATTGTTTTCTGTCCCCGGAAAATATGTGTGTACAAAGTTTCATGGTAGGTTTTAAAGATCATGGACGATCACTCAAAACTATTTTTTCTATCCGTCGGGAACAGTATTTTTTTGGATAAAAGGTATACTTCATTTACTTTCTGTAGCGATGTGACCTTCAGTTTGACCGGCGCAAAATAGAAAAGAACAACACTAGGCCAGAAAAGAAAGGAGACAACTCTCTGCCAAACTCTTCAGCTGTGAGGAGCGTATAATCCGTACAGTACTGCACGGAAAATTGACCATTTTATCCACTATAATTGCATTGCTCCAATGTGCTGTTATTGGTACCATTTACTACTGAAAATATCAACGAGATGTTTATTTATATTTGAAGACATATTAAAGGCTTTAACGCTTGTTTTCGTCTCACACTACTATTCATGATTGAACAAAACTTTTGGCAGGTACTCTATGAAAAAGTATGTTTAATGAACAAGAGTCGAGAGCATAATGAGCTTTTCTGTCCCTACCTACGATTTTGCCATCCAAGACATTGGAAGGGGCACATCGCTAAAGAAAGTAAATGAAGTCCTTTTCTGTACCCCTGAAATGTGTGTATAAAATTTCATGATAATCGGACATGTAGTTAAGGTGTAAAATGTTACCAAATACATTAACATTTATAATATTATGAGGTTAGGATATCACACTAAATATTGTAATAAACTGACTATTCTTTGGTCTATATACTTTGGCAATTTATTGAGTTATACACATTGATACAAAGGTGATCGAGCTACTTACCTTAGCTTCCCATTCCATTCCCACTATGACAATTAATGTAAGTACGACTATGGTAATCAAACCATTTATTCTGATATCTTGGACCCCTCCATCAACTATTTGCAGATCGAATTTCCTCAATAAGCTTCCCAGCGTTTCGCAAAAACCTACCACATTCATGGCAGCAGCTACTGCATTTGCCAGTGAGAATACTAAACCTATCGAACCACCGAAACCGGGGCCTAGACTTCTTGAAATCATATAATAGGTGCCACCTGAAAAAAAAAATTTTTTGGGTGTTTCATTCTCACCAGTCAGTAATGCTGGTGGGCGGGTAGTCTCACCGAACTACTCTGGAAGGTAAGACGGAAGACCCTCTTCAGTCTCCTTTCAGGAATCGTGGGAATGTGTGAGTGGTTGTGCGGGTGAGAAAGATGAGATGGACGAAATGAAGACAGAAAAGAATGAAAGATTATCTGTGGATTATTATTGCCTCAGCATCTGCCTAAGTGATCCAAGTAAACCACAGCAAAACTTGGACCAAGCCAGAAGGACCCGGAATCGAACCGGCGTCCTCCCGAATGCTAAGCAATGGTCTAAACCTGTAGGTCATGCCGCTCGATAAAAAAAAGACATGAAAGACAACCAGAGCTACAAATACAGATATTATTCTTTTGCCCAATAAAAAGTACTGTTACGGAATTATTTTATTTTATAATTCTGGCCTCCATCGAATTTTCTTGAAAAACGAAAATCGAAGAAAAGAAAATCATGATTGATCATGCAAGGGGAGGGGGTCAAATCATAGATAAAATAGAAAAGGTTATAAGGTTTATGTGCAACCCTTGAGAAAAATAAAACTTTTGTAAAGAGATTTAATAAGAGCAATCTAGCTACAATACGTTTGATTGTTGTTCATGGATTCTTTTGTCATTCTTGCACCAGTTTGAATCAATTCCACAAACTCTAATAACTCGGAAACTTTCTTAGAAACTAATGGTATCCACTAACACTAATATTGGGTAATATTATAAACTATTGTAAAGTACAGAACAGTAAAACTACATGACTACTTTCATTAATCAAAAAAGATACTGAAATAACGATTCTATAAGCAATATATCAACTTATGTGGTCATTTTGCGAATAATATCGTCAAGTTTTTATATGTCATTTAAAGTTGTTTTTCGTTTCTTTACAAACGTACAAAGCAAACATGCATTAAAGGAACATAAATCCCCTTGACCCAGTACGCTTTACATTTTCATTGCCGGAACAAGAAGAGAGCAGTTTTTATATTTACGATGTTTGCTCATTCCGAGGAAATAATGCCGGTTATAGCTCGCGCATGTAGACATGCTGACGCCTCTTCAATGAAAATCAATATTTTGTTGTGAATTATTAGATAAGAAGTTTTGCTAGAAATTTCTCACTTTAGTAAATGTTCAATTCAATTAAATTATAATGAAGCAAATGCACAAGTGCCTTAAACAGTTCAGATCGTCAACATTTTTAAAGAAAATTTGGAATAAGTTCTTTTGAAAAACACGTTTTCAATTTTTTCGCAATATTTTTTAAATCATTAGGTGAGATCGCAGCATTACATCGAAGAAAAAGTTAGAATTGTAGTTTAAATTTATCTGATTTTGTATCTATAATAGTTTTTATTTGCCGAAAGTGATGCAGTGTTCACCATCATCGTAGGGTCGTCAGTCCTGATATCGACCGATACGCACCTTAAGTTCTTCTTATCCTGAGCTAATATTCGCATTTCTCTAAAACGAGAACATCCTTAACTATCTGTGAACAGTAATCTAATCTAGATCTGCTTCTACTTCTCTTAACTCTCCTTTCTACACCTCTTAACTCCTATTTCTAGTCCCTGTATGTCTTTAACTTACCTTTCAAGCCTGAGGTGTCTTTCCTTACTTTTTCTTCCCTTGCATACTAATATTTTTGTATTATTTTTATTTATTTGCATACTGTTTTCTCAATACCGCTACAAATTGTAGTACAAATAAACATATGAATGAAAGGCAAAAGTATAATCTCACTTTAATGTTTTACAAAAACGCTAAATTGATTGACATTGACACGATAATTCAGCGATTAGTCATCTGAGACATTATGGAGGAAGTAATTGGAAGAGAAAAGAATCGAAAACCCAAGGACAGTTATTCTTTATTATACAGAAGTTTGTTGGAGGGGTACAGGTATTTTTACTAACTTATTTTTTATTATCCTTCGATCAATAATACATAGGAATGTTTAAAAAAAAAATAAATAAAGTGTAGTAATGGGGGAGAGGGAAGGATTTAATTAACTGTGTTTAGCTGGTTAATCTTTTTTCTAATTTCGTCGATAAGTTTCACGTATTCCAATATGTGTTATTGATTATGTAAAAGTCGCGGTAGTCGCAATCAGGAATTTTACATTACTTCATTATTATTGTATGCAGCTATGCTAAAAATAACGGACTTGTTGAATATGTTTCTAGATATCTATACGATATAGTATTGGTGTGTTGTTTTTTCTTCCAAGTAGTCCCTTTTGTCAAAATAGATAAATGAATGGGAAGGTAGGTCTTTTGCGTGACAGGCAAAAATTCTACCGAAAACAAAAACTTTCAGATGTTTTATTCCGAGAGCGATTTCTCTGGACTACGACGTAGAAGTAAGGCGGAACACCCTCTTCAACTTCCTTTCAGGAATCGCGGGACTGGGTAGGTGGTGGTTAGCGTGATGAGACGGACGAAATAAAGACAGAAAAGTGAAAGATTATTTCTGAAATATTATCATTCTCCCAGTATTTGCCTAGATTATCAAAGGAAACCACAGAAAAACTTCCATCAGGGTAGACTAACCCTGAATCGAACCGGTTTCCCCTCGAATGGTAAGTAATGGCATAGTAAACATTCCAGATAAAAGAGTCATATTGATAAAGAAACCAGGGTAACAATAGCATCAAAGAGCCATATATAATATTATTTCTTATCGTCATAGGTTCATTATTCCGAAGATTGGTTGGACATGCGCCTTCCTATCTAAAGCCAATTTTCACATTATCTGAAAATCAGTACTTCCACATCCTTAACTATCTTCTGCCCCCTCTTTGTTTCTGCTTTTGCTTCTAATATGGCTCCAACTAGCCTTTCTTTTCTGAAAAGGCATCCTATCAATTTACATTGCCATGACAGCCATTGTTCTTCTACACTTTCTAATACCTCCTTAATTTTAATCTTCTATCCACGGTATTTTCATAATTCTCCTGTAAAAACATAACTTCCGCAAAGAGCCACGGTTGCTGATCACTGGCCCAGACCTTTAAACCTCTAAACCATGCAACTGAGTGCATTTTAGCGTGGATTCGCCGATATATGTAGAGTTCTCCATGCCTCTACACAAGTCTTGATCAATGATTTTACTCAAAAAAAAAATCCCTGTACTTTTAGTCATGCGGGCAGATGCACAATAAACCTTTTCGAGGTATCGGAATGTGAAATGAATCACAACCGTAAATGTATGTGTGGCATATGTCGCAGACAAATAGTCATTTGTTTTTTTCAAATTGAATCCATTCTCATATTTTACCTTTTCGAGTCTACTTGTACATTGCCGCCACCATGTATTTGCCTAGACGAATAATTTGAAATAAAGGTTGAGTAATTTACCTGGTTCATAGGTATTTGCCTAGGTAAATGTTATTTGACTAAAATAGCCATTTATTTGCGACATACGAGATCTGTTCAAAAAGTATCGCGAATTTTGAATTTCCGCGAGTTACGTAAATTCGACTTTCGATTTTTTTGTGGCGTTATGTTGGTACTCATGTCTCTCTCTTATATCGACAAGTTTGACCATATTGAATGTTCAGTTAATTTTTGGCAGCTGTTTTGTTTGCACGAGTTTTGGCTCTTCTTCGATTTTTGCTTATTCCAAAAAATGGATTAAAGAATCTGTATCAAAGTTTGTGTGAAAAACTAAATTAAGTGCAAGGACGCATTTCGAATGTTGACTGTGGTATATGGTGAAGCTAATTTGGACCGAAGCAACGTTAATCGGTGGCACCAAATGTTCTCGGAGGGCCGAAAAGATGTGAACGATGAAAACATTGATAAAGTGAAGAAAATATTACTGGCCAATCGTCGAATTACTGTTAGAAAAGTTGCTGAGGACCTTAACATATTGACTCGTTCCTGTCATTTGATTTTTACCAATAATTTGAGCATGAGACGGGTCGCCACGAAATTCGTATCAAAGTTGCTCATTTTCGACCAAGAACGGCATCGCATGAACATTGCTAAGGGGCTGTTGGACTTGTCCGCGATGACCCAAATTTGTTCCAAAGGGTCATAACTGGTGACGAATCATGGGTTTATGGTTATGATATACAATCATCATCATCCCAATCGAAGCTGCACGAGCCAAGACCGGAAAAAGCGCGCCAAGTTAGGTCGAATGTGAAACTTTTGCTTAGTTTTCCTCGACTGCAAGGACGTGGTGCATATGAGTTCTTGCTACAGGGTAGAACGGTTAAAAAGGAATATTACCTGCAAGTTATGCACAATTTGCGCGAAGCAATCCGCCAGAAACGGCCGGATTTGTGGAGGAACAAAAATTGCCTTTTTCACCATGATAACGCCCCTGCTTACACATCGTTGCTTATGCGCAAATTTTTGGCCAAAAACAATACACTAATAATACCACTGCCACCGTATTACCCAGACCTGGCCCCCGTAACTTATTCTTGTTCCCGAAACTGTAGCGGCCCATGAAAGAACGACGCTACTCTACGATTGAGGAGATAAAGACGGCGTCAAAGGAAGAGCTGAACAAGATCACAAAGAATAATTTTTTGAAGTGCTTCGAGGATTGGAAAAAACGTTGGTACAAGTGTATAATATCTGGTGGGGATTGCTTTCAAAGGGACAAAATAGATATTCATGAACAAATAAATAATTTTTGGTAAACAAACACAAAATTCGCGATACTTTTTGAACAGACCCCGTTTACATCATACTCGGAAAACTCGTCTCCAGCAACTAGAACTGTTTCGTGCAAAAATACATGTATTCTGCGGGTTTTAGTCACGAACACCTGAGCCGTTTAACCAGTCGCTCCGAACTCTATTTTAAAAAGCCTAGATCTTTACTATGATACCTACATGCAACCTATGAATATACTACGTCCAAGATAGTATTAAGTATAGAGATGTTACACAGAAATAATTACGTACCTCCTTTTATAATTCCGTTTGTGCTTATTGCTGACATAGATAATGCAGTGACGGTTGTTACCACGGATGTGATGAAGATAAGAAGTAAACCTTCGCCTGGAAAGTAGAATGTACAAATTTTTGTACGAATACTACATGTTATTAACCATGAACATACCAATGCCTGATTGTGAAACGACCCATGAGAGTCGCAGAAATAGCATAACACCCCATATGCTTAGAATACATCGTATTAACACTCCCTTTATCCACCCAAACTTTAATTGTCCGTCAGTATCAATGAATTTCTCATCTACTCCTCCACCCTGACCTTGAAGCTTAAAAGAATGTAAAATAACATGAATATTTCTAAACAATTGTAGATACCTAAACGTTTCTCTAATATAATGTACAAAAAAATTTAAATTAATGTTTCCGTTAATGGATCGCCTTTGTATTTTTTCTTTTATTCCAAAACAAAATGAAATGCAAATAATATACTTCGTTTAGTTTCTGTAGCAATGTGACCTTCATTTTGACCGGCGCAAAGTAGAAAAGAACAGCACTAGGCCAGAAAAGAAAGGAGACAATCCTCGGTCAAACTCTTCAGCTGTGAGGAGCGTATAATCCATACAGTACTGCACGGAAAAATTGAGCATTTTATCCATTACAATTGCATTACTCAAATGTGCTGTTATTGGTACCATTTACTACTGAAAATATCAACGAGATGTTTATTTATATTTGAAGACATATTAAAGGCTTTAACGCTTGTTTTCGTCTCACACTACTATTCATGATTGAACAAAACTTTTGGCAGGTACTGTATGAAAAAGTATGTTTAATGAACAAGAATCGAGAGTATAATGAGCTTTTTTCTCTCTACCTACGATTTTACCAGCGCACATCCAAGACATTCGAAGGGGCACATCGCTAGAGAAAGTAAATCAAATATAACATTCTGTTAACTAGATGAAAGAAGAACTAGTCACTATTGGGATCCGTCAAATGGGCATACACCATCTGGTGGCAAAATTTATAACTCGAATGAGGGAAAAATTTACATAGGAACTATGCACGCAAATTGTAAAATTGTTTATTAAAATAATAAAACACGTTAAAAAAGTAAAAATTTTTTTGATGATGGAGTCGACGAAGTTTTCTTCTAAAGTTAAATCAAATAAAAAGTTAATATGTTCAGTGAAAAGCTGCAATAGCACTTCAGACATAGATCTTCACTCTTCACCTACATTAACTACTTTCCAATAAAAACTAACCGTTTTATATATGTAAAAAATATATTCGGAAAATTAGAGAAAAAAGTAAACTAATAGAAGCTTGGATGAAAGCAGTAGGTATCAAAGAAGTGAATTCCGGAATAAAAATTTGTTCACGTCATTTTAATGCACATGATTATATTTCAGCAAGTATTTACCATCAGCCATAACCTTAATATTTAAAACTAGAATCATACTAAAATTATAAAGTGAGAAATTATTTATTCCTGTGTAATTGATTTAACACAATTCTAATGATACGATATAAGTATTTTGAGGTTAAGAACCTACCTGCTGCAATACAACAAAGTTGCAATAATGTGTTTGCAACGTTCTCTTAAATCGGCTTTGCACGTGCAAGTCATTGATATGATATTGCTTAAATCACCCAGAATCACCTCACCAATTATATAACGTGAATCACTTTTTAAATCCGAAGTTTGTAAAAAGTAGGCAGTAAACTTGACGGAATTTGAAGGCTAGCTTCCGGATTTGTTATTTCCGAATTTTATAATGTGATTGGCATTAAAAACACGCTCACCTTCAACGAAATTTCCTTTCCGAGGCTTTGTGTCAGCCCAATCACATATTGTGTCAATACTTATCATTTTATCGTAATTTAAAAACTTGGAAAGTGCACGGTACACTATAGGAACTACGATAAATTTTCCCTCATCGGCGCCATGTTTTTAGGCTCCTCCCATTTGACGGATCCCAATAGCCTAATATTTTAACAATCCGAAAATGTCAGGAAAAATACTACGTTATAAATCCCTAAAACACATTGTGGTTTTGATAGTGATGATTATTAAGAAAAGTGAATGTAAACAGACTTCTTTCAGTTTTCATCAGTACAAGCAAAATAGTTGTTATGCATTACCTACTTGCTGACCAGTAAAAATTTTATGTAATTCTTAAATTTAGTTAGAGAAATTGAAAAATTAACCAGTTTTATTTTCTGAGCATTTAAAATCCATTTAATGGAAACTTAAGTTGTAGAGGTAATCCATACATCAAAAAAACTATAAAGCATTAAAAATGCAATACGAGAAGGAGCTAACATTTTCTTATATACCTATCAACTGAAGAAACGAAAATGAGATATCCAGGTGCTTAATTTCTAAATTGAAACATTTTGTCCTTTGAATTTGAAATAATCTCTAAGGGTTATTAAAAAAAAACTTGAAGTACCTATCTGATCGTAAAATTTAGCGGTCTTTCCGAATCCAAGGTCAAAAATAAGAGATTTTATTCAATAAAGTTAATTTGATCTTTAAGTGACCTTGAATGTCATGATCTCTTGATCAGGGTCAAACTTAAGTCACTATCCGTCGTTCTCCAACGAATGCAACAACCTTGCACAAGCTGACGATATATTCAAGTGGGATACCCACTCTATCTACTATTTTCATTTGAAGCTTCTTACTTCGATTCATGAATAATAATTACTGTATGAAATTAGTTCTTAAGAGATTTTTTCTGTCATTGAAACGATTAAAAAGCGATTCTAAATCGTCTGTTGTTTTAAATACAATATCTACGATATACGATATACGTATACATAAATTAATTAATGCATTGAGTGGCGATTTTTTTTAGTATCCTACCTTCACAGTAAGTGTGGCATTATGTAACTCGTCCAACGTAGGCCGCTTAGCAGCTTGATAAGACATTATATTCCGGTAGTTATCCAATCTAGGAAGGGCTTCCCTCGTCATGTGTCTGCGAATAATAATCGTATAGAATCTTTTTTATTGTAAAGCGTTGTGACGCTCATTTATTTAGTACTTATGTTTAATACGACGTAAATTCAAGAGCTGATTCTAAAAATAAGGGTTGACCATACATATTAATCTACTGATTACGCATCTAAATTGCCTCTATGGAAGATTAATTCAGGTATAAGTGATCCCAGAAAATCACAGAAAAACTTGAACCGAGACAGTCGGACCCGGAATCGAACCGGTGTGCTCTCAAAATCGTGGTGGTTGGGGTGAAAACGATGACATAGGAAATAAGAAAGATTATCTGTGGCCTAGCATTTTCCTATGTGATCATAGAAGCCAAAAAAAAACTTGGACCAGGGCAGACGATCCCAAATGCTGAGCTGAGGTCTAAACTTCTAGGTCATACTGATGGGTGTAATGGTGACTTCGCTCAAAAACGGCTTGAGACTATATCTCTGTAGTTTTTCTTATATACGAGGACGGGGTGAAAAGTCTGATCTAGAGATAACGTCAGTGTGATTTCTGCTGATATTCTATAAAAGTATCTCTGATTGTATTGCAATCCAACCTTCAGGTTGATTACTTTGTTAGTATACATTTGATAGCCTATTAAAGAAGATGGTTCGGTTGCTTACGCAAAAATAGAGAAATCAGAGAACCTCCACCATCAAATACTTCTATTTGAAAAACCTAACACCCCTTCAAATCAAAGAAGAACTGGATTCAACATTGAAAGACTCTTCTCGATTATATTCAGCGGTTAAACAGTGGATTTCGGAGTTTAACAAAGGGTGTATTGTGGTGGAAGACAGAAGATTGAATGAAAGTGGTATATCTGACACTACGGGGATGTCAATTAAATGTGTACGCAATATTTTAGACCAATAGTTTTGTGGTAGGTACGTGCCACGTTTGTTAACGCACAATCAAAAAACTTTTTCGACTGCTTCTACAAGAGAATTCTCAGGGAAGTTTATGATTAACAATGGATGAAACATGGGTTCACCATTAGACTCTTGAAAGTAAACAACAGTCATACTAATGGATTGGAACGGGTGAACCAACCCCTCTTCCCAAAAAAAGCCGAAACGGAAAAGATATTATTATCAAAACGATTAAATCATCAAGGATCAATACTAAGCAGAGTTATTGCAACATTTGAAGAATAAAGATCAAATGAAGACATCATTTGGCGATGAAGAAATCTTCACCATGATAATGCACCCGCTTATACGTCGGTTGTTGCGATGGTTAAATTTGCTCCACCACATTCACCAGACTTAGTCCCAGCTACTATCATTTGTTTTCTGACCTCAAAGAATGTCTAGGAAGTTAAAAATTTAGGCATCACAAGGAAGTCATCAATGCTATAAATGCGTATTTTGAAGAGTTCACAAATCGCACTATTTAGGCATCACAAGGAAGTCATCAATGCTATAAATACGTATTTTGAAGAGCTTCACAAATCACACTATCAAAGTGGTATTACTACATTAGGGCATCGATATGAAAAATGTATTAGTCTTCATGGAGATTATTTATTGCTTTTCTTTATCAGGCCGATAATTTTTCACTTCGCCCTCATATGAATTCAATTTTAGAAAAGCAAAAAGCCGTTATTCGTGACTTTTCGCATTTTTTTTTTGTTTGTTATAACTAAATATTCAGTTTCAAATTTTAGATTAGTTTCTTGCAAACATAGCACTTTTGCAATCTGGATGCAGATATTTTTTGATTTGAGAGTAATTAAATCTAACTCTCCTGCACTATACCTGTACAATACAATCCCGTACTTCATCACGATTTGCTTTTGGACATATTCAATTGTTTCTTTGCTGAAAGGTAAAACTCAGTAAAACTTACCTAAAACTTTTCGCATAAGTAGCTTCAGATTTTGAATTGAGTTTGGCAATTTCCATTGGGTCATCGTCAGAGTCTTCGTCACTTCCTACATGGATTACCGCATTACCATCTTTCGTAGGACTTGTGATACTTAATACTTTTTTAACTTGAAACCTGGTATTCTTTTTCACCGGGCTTAGCGGTTCCATTTCAACGCCTTCTTTCAGTTTATTGACGGCCAGTTTTTTTGTTTTCGGCATTTTTAGATGTTATTATTTGCATCTAAAGTGCAGAAAAGGATGATATTTTTGCCGTAAAATAAATGCTATGATATTAAAAAAATGCTCTTGATTATTTCATAATGTTATTTTGCATTTAAATGCATTTTTCAGAAAGACATTTTGAATTTTATTTAAAATGTTTCTCCAGGTGTATTTTCGGTTTGCAAAATGTAAAATACTTTCTTGCCGTTAAAAGTTTTAGTACACGTATTAACACCTATCATCATCATCATCATCATCATAAGGTAGTCAGTCCTAAGACTGGTTGGACATGTACCTCCACTCTTTCCTATCCTGAGCTAAACTTCGCATTTCCCTAAAACCAGAACAGCCCACATCCTTAACTATTTGCGAACAGTAATCTAATCTAGGTCTACCTCTACCCCTCCTAACTCCTGTTTCTGCCTCTAATATGTCTCTGACTAGACCTTCATGCCTGAGAAGGTGTCCTACCAACCTATCTCGCCTATTTTTTATTGACTTCCATAGAGTCCTCTGTTCTCCTATTCTTTCCAATACCTCTTCATTTCTAACCTTTTCTACCCACGATATCCTCATCATCCGCCTATAACACCACATTTCGAACGCTTCTAACCTTTTCTTTTCCGCCGCTCCCACTGTCCATGTTTCGCACCCGTACAACGCCGTGCTCCAAACATACACCTTTAACAACCTTTTTCGAATTTCTAAATTAACCGTTCGCGAGCATAGAAGTGACTTCTTTTTATTAAAGGCGACACGACCCTGCGCTATCCTCTGCTTTATATCCCTACTACTCCTTCCATCCTCACTTATCTGACTTCCTAGGTATCTAAAATCAGCCACTTCTTCTAATTTTTCGTCTCCTATCTTTATATTCGCTCTTTCCCTACTTTTTCTTCCCTTGCATACCAGTATTTTAGTTTTACTTTTATTTATTTTCATACAGTACTGATCTGTCAGTACCGCTTCCATTTTATTTAAAGCTATCTCTAGGTCCTCCTTGCTAGATGCTAATACTGCTATATCATCTGCAAATCTAAGCATACTAATCTTTTGCCCTTGCACATCTATCCCTACAGTTGTACTGTCTTTAATGATGTTGATGGCGTCTTCGATGTATAGATTAAAAAGTAGCGGTGACAGTGTGCATCCCTGACTCCCTTCCTAATATTTACTTCTCTACGTTGCATCCTTAGCTTTAACTAAGTATCACTCTTCTATCTTTGTAACTCATCCCTACATTTTTAAGTATATTTAACATTTATCTATTGTTACCCGTAAAGCTAGAATGGCCTCCCGCGTTCCTCTATTTCTTCTAAATCCCCTAATAGTTCTTCCGCCCTTTTTTCCACCTATCATACCCAATATAAAATGAGTTTCTTGCATTGACCACCGAAGGTATTAGAAACTTAGAGACAAAGAGACATTCCATGCATGCCTTCTAATACTAACTGATGAGCGCAAATTCTGAACTTTGAAATGGATAATCCAAAATATTATATAGTAGATTCGATATTGTTTTCCGAGCTGTTTTCCAAACGACCCAGCTTCTATATTGAAGATGCTTTCAGCAAGGAACGTTGAAACATTTGGAATTGCATGGACCATTGCCAAAAGATCCCGGAAAACAATATCGATAAGGTGTACGCCGGCCGTGAAAGCTTGAAAACTAGAAGACATTGTGCTAAGGGGTCATCCATAGATTACGTCAAACGTTAAGGGGGCTTCTTTCTATTGCA